AATTAAAGTGGAGGTTATTTGGGCAACAGAAAAGCAGAAATTAAAGTATACTGGTAATTGACATCAGGGAAGCAACCCCGTATCATATGGGGGGCATTTTCTGTTATAATATTTCTGTGGAGCAGAGGTGAGGAGTCCTGTGTCTGAGTCACCTGAAGGCGGTACGTCCAGCTCTGCAGCCCTCCGCTGTGAGAGCCAGGACAAACCACTGTGCTCAGTGGTCTCTACTGGCAATTAGAGGCAAAAATAGAACCAGCCTCATCTGGTTGTAGGATTAAATGGCATGATCTGTGTAAATCACATAATCAAGTTTGTTGGTACCAAGCTGGGGGTCAGCTCAGTGGGTGATGACTTGCCTAGCATTACATAGCTTTTAAAAAAGAGTAGTTTGTAGGGGCCGGCCTGATAGCTCAGTGGACTAAAGCACCTGCTTAGGCAGAGCACAGAGGCTGGGGTTCGATCCCCTTTGTGTTGTGCTGGCTCCGCCCTGCAGGGCATGCTGAGACAGAGACTGGGTATGGTGGCACATGACTATAATCCCAGCACTTGGGAGGCTGTAAACTGGAAAATCACCACGAGTCCGATCTATGTAATGACATCCTGTAGACCCTGTAGACGCTGTCCCAAATACGGGGGAGGGGGAGGGGGGAGGGGAAGGAATAGCTTATATGTTCTTCAAAAACTCAGACTTTCTGTCTCAAAGACTTTTTAAGGTGCACCTTAAATGTTTGATAGATACTGTTGTTTAATCTCTTACAACTGGTGGCATGGTGGCATATGCCTATAATCCCAGTACTCAGAAGGCTGAGGCAATATGATTGTTACTAGTTTGTGACCAGTGGTCTTTGTAATCAACTCAAGGTGAGCCTGAATTACATAGTGAGACCCTACCTCAAGAATCAAATCAAAGGCTGATGAGATAGCTCAGCAGACTAAGTGTCTGCTTAGGCAAGTGCAAGGATTGGGGCTCGATCCCTGGCACCACATGCCACATCAGCCCCACCCCAGGGCAAGCTGAGCTGTCCACAGAGACCAGGTATGGTGGTGCATGCCTGTAATCCCAGAGCGGGAGGCTGAAAACAGGAGGATCACTACGAGTCTGAACTGGGCAGTGAGACCCTGTACCAAATTCATTTAAAAAAAAATCCGTTCTTTTCTTTCTGTAGGCCAGTGAAGCTCTTGCTGTGTGTGGACCACAGTGCTCACCCTGACTGTGCCTTAACGTTGTGAGTGTTTTGATTCCAGCCTCTTTTCCTTAGGGTTCCTCTAGGTACAGCCCCCTGGTGAACTGCACTGTGATTTTATTTCCACTCCTCAGCTGGTTGGAGAAAAGGACCCTAAAGGTATCTTAAGGACTCAAGGGGACAGATTCCCGGTGGCCCAGAAGCCCAGGTGGGTGGGTGGTCTCAGGCTGTGGTGTCACTTAGGTCTGTCAGGTGTCACGTTCGTCCCTTCACCAAGTTGCACACTTGCCTAAGCACAGGCCTTGGCCGCTCCTTTTTCAGAAACCCACTGCACTCTGCAGTGGCATTCCTGGTGAGAGATGCCACCTCGGCACACCCCCGTTCAGTTCAAGGCCCCCACCTCAGGATGCAGGGGAGAGTGCCCGTGGGGTGAGGCTTCCAGCTGGCGCTCCACGGTCAGCATCTCCGCTCATTTGATCAATTTTCCCGAAGTGGGCCATTTGGTCCCCATCAGTGATGCTGAGGTTCAGAGGGATCAAGGCATCTGCTAAATTCACCCAGCCTCAGGGGCTGGGGAGATAGCTCAGTAGAATAAGCGATTCCTTGGCAAGTGCAAAGGCCTGAGTTCAATCCCCGATTCCAAAAAAAAAAAAAAAAAAAAAAAAATTCACCCAGCCTGGCTACAGCAGTTATGGCAAACCTTTGGGAGTCTGAGTGCTCAAACCCTGAATCCACTTATTTGTCACAAAGCTGCAAATTGCCAGAACTTCCTCTGCATGCTGGTATCTGACACTCCGCAGCTGGGGTGATGCTGAGGGGACTTGGCTCAGGCACCCGCCATGGAATGAGTGCCACAGCATGAGTGCCACAGCTTTGCTGTCACTGGATCAGAGCTGGAGGCAGCGCCGGGTGGAGTCCTTGTGCCTCTTGCCTTACTCTGACCCCGAGGCCCCGTGTATACACACAGCAGGCGTGCAGAGGCCCGGAGGGTCCCTTCCTTTTCTCCTCGTGCTTGGGCCTTGATTTCAGCGTTTGTTGGCAGATGTATTTTTACTTTGTTTACTTGGGAGGTACCAGAAATCAAGCTCAGGACCTCATTTGCCAGGCAGGAGGGAAGATCTATTTTTGACAGTTTTGCCCCTTTCCTTTGAATGAGAGGAATAAAACCCACTTTAAGCCTTTGCCAGGTATTCCTCCACTTTCATTGCCCCTGGTAGGGATTTTGCCAATTTCTTTTTTGAACATTTTAGCAATGAATATTGATGGATAATTTATAAATGCAGAAACACACACAGCAAGTACACAAAGTTGCTTAATCATTTTACAAATTCAATGAGGTGTAATATCCATCTCAGTTTGTTAAAGCCAAAAAATATTAAAGCTGTTATGATGTCATTCAATGTGTGATGGGCTTATAAATTGGGAAAATGTTTTGGGAAAGCCCTCTGAAAATGTATGACCAGAACTATAAAAATATTCAGAGCCTCTGACCTATATCAGTCTTTAGGGTACTTTTGGTGTCTTATTCTAAAGAAACGATAAAAAGATGGATATTGCCTGTATGCTCAAAGATGTTCACCAAAGCATTATAAAATGGGGACACTGGCTGGACCTAAATAGCCAATGACACCTGAAGGTCTACTTCTGAAGCAGAACAGGATGTAGCCGTCAAAGACAGTGTAATCAGACCAGCCAGATAGCTCAGTGGACTGAAGGGACTGGGGTTCAATCCCCAGGATGTTGTGCCAGCCCTGCCCCCCAGGGCTCACTGAGTCTGAGATTGAGACTGGGTGTGGTGGCATGCACCTGTAATCCCAGTGCTTGGGAGGCTGAAAACAGGAGGATCACTACAAGTCTGATCTGTGCAGTGAGACCCTGTACTAAATACATTAAAAAAAAAAATAAAAGAAAAGACAATGTAATCCCAGCACTTGGGAGGCAGAGGCAGGAGGACCCTTGCAAGTTTGAGACCAGCATGGGCTACAAAGTGAGCTCAAGACCAACCTGAATTGCATAGTGAGACCCTGTCTCAAAAAGCCAATAAGTAAATACAAACAATGGCAGGATAATGCTCCAAAACTATAGAATAATCAAAGTCAAAAAAGAAACACTGTGTGCTTAAAGATGTAATGTTGGCCTCAAATCCAGTTGACAGGTTGGTGCAGGTACGAGGAAAACAGCGTCTTGAAATAGTCATTCAGAGAGAGCCAAGGGCGAGTGCCGGGTGGATCTGCCATCACGGCCAGAAGTCTCTGGTCCAAACGCCCCCACCACAGTAGTAGGATCACTGTTCTCCATTTGCTTAGAACAGTGGGGTAAGATTTTTAATCTGCAAAAGTTTATAACCAACACAGCTGTTGACACTAATTCAACCAATATTAGTAATAATTGTAGGGTCAGTTTAGGGACAAACTGTGTGTTTTTGTGTTGAACTTATTTGCAAGACTTTAACACACAAGACTAGCTGTTGGGTTAGTCCACAATCTCAACAAACATGCATTAGCTGATATGAGGTCTGGGAATTTTAGTTGAAAGTTGCAAGAGAATTTAATTAAATTTTTAATCATTTTTTAAATATTTAAAACAACTAAGATTAAATCTTACACAGTAGTTAGGTTTACTAGAATCAAGTACTTGAGAATGCTTTGCTTATTTATTTTTGTTTTCTTTTTGAGGTAGGGTCTTACTATGTAGTGCAAGTGCAGACTAGCTGTGAACTCACTTTGTAGCCTTGGCTGACCTTGAACTCCCAGTAATCCTCCTGCCTCAGCCTCCCTAGGCTGGGGTTATAGGTATGTGGCACCGTGCCTGGAGGCCTTGTTTATTTAAAGATGGCTGAAATATTTGTAAAAATAGAATGTAATATTATAAAGCTTAAATTTATATATTTTAATCTAAGATAGTTTGAACTCAAAATATCCAAGGAAATTAAATAAATGTGAAGCATCATTAAAGGTTGTCAGGGTCGGGCATAATGATGCCCTCCTGTCATCCCCATACTCTGGGGGACTGAGGCAAGAGGGTCACAAGTTCAAGTCCAGCTTAGGCGATTTAGTGAGACCATGTCTCAAGATAGTACATTTTTAAAAGGTCTAGTGATACATCAGTGTGAAGGACCTCTGAGTTCAAGCTCTGCTAATAGGAATAAAAGTTGCTAATGCAGAAGCTTCTTTAATGGAATGACATAATTTGCAACTTACAAATAAATGTGTATCTGAAATTTATAAATTTAATAGCAAGAATTTTTAAAACCAGAATAGCTGCAAATGGTGCAGCAAAAAAGCCCCCAAGTGTAATCTCATGTCAACAAGCAAAGCCAACATTTGATAAAGTAGAACACAGAACCTGAGTGAGACTCGGCAAGCAAAGGAAAGTGAAGCTGTGCGCTTCTGTTTGTGGGTGCTAAGGGGCGACGTGGTAGACTAGGTCTGAGGAGGTGAGCGCCAAGCTGCTAGCAGCGGTTCCTTCTTCGAGGGAAAGAAAAAGATAACAGGAGACTCATGACTACTGTATTTCTCTCTTTTTTTTGAATAATCCATCTTGTTTATTTATTTATGTATTTATTTTTATTGAGAAATAAATATGAATGAGACAGTTTCACAGTTGATTAATAGGACAGTTTTGATAATCAGTACACTGTACATTGTTATCTTCTTAGTGGTTATCCATAGTACAGGAAGCAGACAGGATATTCTGTCTAAACACTGTTAGTACACCTCTTTCTTCTCATTGAGTTAAGC